TTGACAGAAACACAGAGAAGCAAAGGAACATCTCCACAGCCACATACACACCCACGGTGGAGCCAGGGCTGGAGCCCTACAGCTGCCTCTCACTAAAAATGAGTGTCTGCTTTACAGTTGAGAAAGACAAATCTCTGATTTAAGAACCTGGGGAAAGAACCAATCCCTCACGGCCGAGTCATCACTGAGTAAAAGGGTAGTGGAGCAAATGCCACAGAACTCCAAAGCCATCCAGTCGTGTCCCTTCCAGCCCTCCAGCCAGACGTGGGGGTGTGGAGGGCTCTGCCGAAACACGGCTTGTTAGCCGTACAAGTAAAGCTTGAAAGCAACACAAATGCCAAAAATGTTGACTAAAATCACGTTGTCAATTTTCGATGGCTTTTATTGCAGTGTGAATTAGTTAGGGCTCAGACTAGTTTCACTAAAAAGAGAACTTTGTTGGTGTGTAAGATAAAGGTTAGAGACCCATCTGAGATGAGCGGACGCCAGAACCCCGTGGGCCAGGAAGCTCTGGAGCCGCCTCTGGGTGATGGTTTCATTTCAGCAGAGAAGTTTTCCCATAATCTTTGACTCCTCTTAGTCTCACATCTCAAACCTCATCACTGAAGGAAACTTGGACTGTTAGCTCCAGACTGAAGAATCCCCTGTAAGGTCACCCACCGTGGGTCACTTGCCCATGTCTCTTCTTTGATGAACCCCCCCCTCCCCGGACCTGCCCTCAGCAGAGGAGAGATGTTGATTTGGGAGCCGCTACCATTACCTCACGTTACCTCAGTGTTCTCGTGGTTCCAGAGCCCATCCTATCTGAAGAAAGCTTCATATTTAAGCATTAAAACAGGCCTGTAGAAAGGGTCCCACTTTTCCTGTCGTCTGTGGTGAGCTGATAGTGACTACCCACAGGTCTATCTTGAAGAATTCTGTGACCAGCAAGAGGCTCAGGGCAGTAGTTGATTAGTAATGTCTTCCACAGCGTGGGAAGCTGGAAGAAAGCATGCATGCCGCATACCTGTCATCCTTGAGCAAGGGGCCTTAAAGACGCCCAACCCAAACTAGGGGCACAATGGCCATCAGATAGGGCCTCTGTCTTCAGACTCAAGCCACAGAGACAGACAATTATGAGATTAATTACTACAAAGTGACAAGGGCCAATGCTATTGATATGTATGAGAGAGAAAGATAACTCAGGAAAAAGAGCAATGTTTCTTGTGGCATAGACACACTTTGATCATCTACACTTCTTTGAGGCAGGGATAGAGAAGTAATTACAATATTTCTCTTTTTTTCCTCCAACACATTTACATATCTAATCACGGTTTTCTCAGATCGGTACTGAAATGATAGCGTATTGCCCAGATCCACAAACCAGATAAGAGTTTATCTAGAAGTCCTTTCTAAGAGATGATGGGGGCCCATCCCCCCGTGATTATTTCTGTAAATGGACCATTTGGAGTTGCTGATGGTGGCTACACTTACTTTAAATTTACATTTTAAATAATGCTCTAATGAAGCGGTTAAAGATACTAGGACTGTGGCATTATAGCTTGACAAGTTGGCTCCTGCCCTCTTCTTCCCTAACAGAAATCAGACTTGAGACCTTGGACAAGTCACTGAACTCTTGGGGCTAACAATTCTCGTCTGATAATCACTTTGATAAGGTAGTTGATAAGGGTCGAGTCCTTCATAACGTGCCCGGCAGCTACTAGTGCTGAAGAAAGGATGGCTATTGACTGTCCATCCATAAGCCCATGTTTATGAGAGTAGGCCCTTCAAAATCTGTCAGATACGCAGACCAGAGGCCCAGGAGCCCGCTTCATACTATTTCCAGGTAGCAAATCTATTGCTGAGTCTGGGTTTAATGCTGTCCTTGCTCAGAAGCCATCTTTTGTAAGCTCAGGGAAGAGGTCGAGCCATTGGCTTCTGGTGTTTATCTACAGTGGAGAGGCAAGAGGCCATCCTGGCCAAATCTGCCCCTTCCTGCACTTTGGTCATGTCTTCAAAACTCATGAATTCTGGCTGGGTGGCAGTGAGATGCTGGAGCCACCTTGGGGTCCCACAGCTCCCAATGCCCACCACACCACCCAAGCTGGGAGCGGATTCCCAGGAGTGCAGAGAGTGAAAGGGAGGTGGTCAGGGAGGTGACTGAGCAGGTGTGTGATGCACACAGGCCAGAGCACCTCCCCTGGGCTTGGCCAAAACCACAATGCATTTGGTGCTGGGCCCATTTCCCCTTAGAGTGTTAAGCCCATGAGTGTTTTCAGGGGCTTTCAATCCAAATGTTTTTTAAAATGGTTTTTTATTCATTTGCATTTAGCTTATAAAAATGTTGTTTCTAAAGAGGTGGTGGATGGCCCAGAACCACTTTTTTTTCTTTTTCTTCCTTCTCCTCCTTGTAAGTTTTCTTTCTTAGGAAAGGAAATTAATTAATTTCCCCTTTTTAATCGTCTAAATATCTAAGACCAAATGTCTGAGCTTGCTTGGAAGCTAGTAGCCACTGATCTGTATAAGCGCTAAGTGACAGTTTCCAGGGCAAAACCTGAAGCAATGATTCTCTCTTGATGTTTGCTCAGTTGACGCCCTCACAGGGTACATTTAGGATAATGCTACTTATCACGGTGTAACATTAGTCATCTCGATGACTCACATGACACGAGGGCCGGGAGAGAGCAGATGGCTGGAAGGATGCTCTTTAACATTGAGTTTCTGGAAATTTGGGGTGAGAGCGCATGTCTTCAGACTCTTGAGGTTGTAAAGTGTTCTCCTACTGACATCACAGCCCTGGACTTTGGGCTGAGAATCCAAATCAGCACCTCTGACTGCCTCCTGGACCGCTGCTCGGTACAGGGACCTGCAAAAGGAGCAGGACACTCCAGCATGCATGTGGAGGGACGGAGGCAGACGGTTGTCCTCTGTCCACTGCGGGAAGATGACAGGAAAGAAAGGCTGGGCAAGGCCCAACACCTTTTTAACATGGCGACCACACCCTCCAAGAAATGGAGCCTTCAATTGCCTTAAACAACAACTTCTCATCTTGAGAGGAACTGGAAAGAGACAGGCAGAGACAAGCTGAAGGAGGCCATGATCCTGGCATAGAGGGGAAGGGAGAGCTTTGTCCCCCTCGTGTTTAACATTCTAGAGTGTTTTCTGCAGTGAAGACAAGACCATGCTTTTTTCTCCTCTTCCGTCTCTCTCAGCCTGTAGATCGGGCTTCCATAAAGAGGAGGCGCTCCACCGAACTTGAGTTTGATTGAATGTCGCTTTAGTCTGTCTCCTGGAAGACACCTGGAAGCACACAGGTTTAAGATTTGTGTCGCGATTTTAAACCTGGGTTTTTTTAATTTTAAACCTGGGTTTTTGAGTTTTTTCATGGAGGAGTTTAATTTCCTGTAGCATGTTTTAGAGGTGAACTCCTCCGACTTGTGTCGCTGTGAGGTCGGGAAAGAATTCTGCACCAGGACGCAGGAGACCCAGACTGGAGAACTGCCTCTGCCTGACTTGGTTGCTGAGTGGTGGCAGCAAGATGCCTCATTTCTCTGGGACTCATTTTCACCATCTTTAAAATGAAGACCCCATAACCACGGAGTTTTAAAAATCTCCTAGCTCACTTTACCCCATTGTATAGGTTAGCAGACTAATTAATACTTACACTACTTAGAAACAGATATTTAGAGCCTCTTTAGGAAGTCAGCCGGCATAGCAGGTAGAGCTTGGACCCCCAGCTCAGGCTGTCTGGGATCAAATCCCACCTCAGTCAATTACCGGCTGCTTGACTTTAGATAAGTTACTTAACCTCTCTGAGCCTCGGTTTCTTCATCTGAGAAACAGGATAATAATAGCTGTACCTACCACATAGAGTTTTTTTTTTCTTTAAGATTGGCTCTGAGCTAACATCTGTTGCCAATCTTTTTTTTTCTTCTTCTTCTCCCCAAAACTCCCCAGTACATAGTTGTATATTCTAACTGTAGGTCCTTCTGGTTGTGCTATATGGGATGCCATCTTGATGAGCAGTGCTAGGTCCGTGCCCACGATCCAAACTGGCCAAACCCTGGGCGGCTGCAGTGGAGTGCGTGAACTTAACCACTCGGCCAAGGGACCGGCCCTGCCATATAGATTATTAAGAGGCGTCAGTATGTGGAAAGAGCTTGGAACAGCACTGGCCCGTGGTAAAGAGCAAGTAAGCATTAGCTTTTATTATTGACCCAAGATCATGCAATGTACCAGCTCTGTTGACTGGGATCAGAACCCCAACTTCCGAGGGCAACTGTTCCCATGTTCTTAGCCCAGGATGCACATTAGATTCATCTGAAACGCTTAAAAAAAATACCTGTGCCTGCACCCAATGCCACAACAATTAAACCAGAATGAGGGGAAGGGCCTGGCAATCTATATTTTTTCTTTTGAGGAAGAGCTAACATCCACTGTCAATCCTCCTCTTTTTGCTGAGGAAGACTGGCTCTTAGCTGACATCTGTGCCCGTCTTCCTCTACTTTATATTTGTGATGCCCCACAGCATGGCTTGATGAGTGGTACGTATAGGTCCACACTCAGGATCGGAAGCAGAGAACCCCAGGCCGCTGAAGCAGAGTGCAGGAATGTAACCACTGCGCCACAGGGCCAGCCCCACTGGCAATCTGTATTTTGAAAAATCTTCCTCCAAGCAATTCTAATGTGCAGGCTGGGCCGAGAACCACTGCTCAACACGCTGTTGCCCTCATCTACTTCAGAGGATTTTTTTTGAGAATCAAGTTCAATTTGAAATTTTCATGTGTACCTGGTATCACGAACTATTTGCCAAGGTCTTACTCTCTTATAAGGGGCATAAGCTGATTTTCACTGCTATTCTCACTTCAAAGATGTGAAAAATACATGTTTGCTATTTTCTTTCTTTCATGAAAGCCCCTGGTGGGGGCTGAGCACAGGCATCCTGGGATTTCTTTCATAAAAACCAGAACAGCACCCCACGCACCATCTACCCCCCCCAACCCAGGGAGAGACACATCTGATCCCTCTAGTCATTATCATTTTAATGTAAAAAATGACATTATGCCAAAAAGAAGGGGCTCATAAATTATATCTGATTTTAGAAAGTTTTCCAGCCATTGTATAAATGACAGATCTATAAAGGAAGACCGAAAATGAATTTCAAATTAAAAAAAAATAATTCCATGTTTTTACGGCAAGCTTGAAAAACTCTCGGAACACACTGTTTCTAAGGAGGGTGATTCGGGAGCCCGTGGAGCTGAGCACTGCCTGGCGGGAGGCTGGAGGCTCAGAACTGGAGGGAAACTCGACGACCGTCTCCCTGGCGGGCCTGCAAGCCCACCCGCAGACCCGGGGGCCGAGGCTGGGCAGTTTCCTGGTCCAGTCTGAGGAAGGCACACGTGTCGAGTGTGCTGGAAGTGAGCCCTCACAGGCGCGTGACGGGCCTGAGGCCCAGATGCGGTTGATGGATGCAGTTATGTCCTGAACTGCTCAACGTTTCTCAGACGTTTTCACTTGGGGCCTGGATGCAGCAGGATAGAACTGGGCAACTTTTTTCTTCTATTTGTACCCCCAAATTTACATAAAGTCAGAGAAGCCTTTGGGGAGAAAAGTTACCCTGAATCGTCCCCTCCCCTCACTGAGGTTTGAGGACATTTAAACCTGTCTGAAGGCCTGAAGTGGTCCCAAGTGGGGCCAGATTGCAAACCAGGACAGAGAGGCCACAGAAAGAGCAGAGCAGAGAGAAGAAAACTGGCCTGTATCCCAAGCCTGAGGGGGAGAGAAGAGGCTGACATCGATGTCGTAGGGAACCAGACAGCTTTGTGAAGTCCTGTAATGTCAGGGGCCAGGTGGGCTTGCAAAGGTGAAGGAGCTTTTTCTGGAAGCTGTGACGTGTCCTAGTGGCTGGAGCTGGCCAGGGCAGTTTGGGGAGGAAGCAGCCACCCAGGTCCCGGCTCCATCTGCTATTCAACCCAGTGTTTGAGCAGCAGCGTCCAGCAGGTGGGCTGCTGCCGGGCGAGGCTGGGGTGCAGGGGTTGTGGGGTCAGTCTGGAGAGCCTCAACAAAGTTGTCATCCCCCTCAGGCATCATGGGGCTGGATTCACAGGTACACAGACACCCCTAAGGGACTTAGAAAGAATAGTAGACTAAGCTGGAACTCCTGCTTGGAGAGGGAAGGCAGTGAAGGGAAGAAGAAGGGTCTGCAGATTTGCAATTGGGGATTTTAAAATGTGCAACCCCTTCGTTTGCCATAAACTGGTTAAATTTTAATGCCATCCACCCAGTTTCCTTCTCCAATCTACTACATCTCTCTATTCGTTCGACAAATATTAAGCCCAATTCTGTGACAGGAACAGAAAGAAAAAAAATTGAGATGCGTTTCTTCATCTCCCGGGTGGAGTGGTCCCCGTGCTCTGGCGGCACTGATGGGAAGAAGCTCATGGCTTGGCGCCCTCTCCCAGCCTCACCACCCCAGTCTCTGACGGCTCCATCGCTTCTCCACGCCTGCTTTCCACACCAGCCCAAGCCTCGGATCACCACGCCGACACCTCCCCAGCCGGCTTTCAGTTTCTTCAAGCAGGGGGGGCCTCCTTTCCTGTAGGGGTCTTTCTTAAACATATTCCCAAGGCTATAAAGGTCCCTGGACAGGTTCAGTGAGGGTGAGGCTAAGAAGCCAAATCCAGTTAGGAAATGCTGCAAGTTTCATTCTCTTCTTGGAGTCTCTTAATAAACGCTGGCGAACATAAGACTTCTAGACGTTCTGGGGGTGATGGAGTCTTTCTGACTGTGTAACCCAGCGCTCTCCAAGCCTGTGCGGGCCCAGGACAATTTTTCCCACAATGCATGAAAACCGTTGTTCCTTCCTCTTGCCCCATCACAGTTATCTTCTTTTCCTGCTTTATTTTTTTCCCTTAAAACTTAGCACTTTCTGAAATGCAGTGTTCTGTATGTATGTATTTATTGAGTATTCTATTTTCTGTCCTCCCCGACACTCCCATCGGAATTCAAGCTTTGTGAAGGTGGGGCTAAACATACATATACATAGAAGTATATATACACACATCTGTAGAGAGAGACACACACATACATACATGCACGTACATATATAGAGATATATACACACGTACGCATGCACACACACAGGCCTAGAGCAGTGCCTGTGACATGGTGGATCCTCACTCAGTTAACATTTGTTGTGAGAACTTAAACAACCGTGCTTTCCTCTGCCTATGCTAAACAGTACTGGGACCAAGCAAAAATAACTTAGCTTCTAGCTCCAGGGTAAACCTGCTCCTGTGAACCCACTAACACGCTTAGTTTTTCAGACTAACAGCTTGCTCATCGAGGTTGCTTCCAGACCCTTGCCTCACTCTACCCACCAATCCAAAACTACTTTGTTATAAACTACCCAGTTCCCACCAGTGTCCTCCCTTGTAAAACTCACCTTGAGATCACCCAGCCTTGACCCCAAAGCCCTAGCAGTACCTTCTCCGACTGTCCCTATACTGAGATCCTGCCAGGGGGTGGTGTCCGTGACCGCAGTAGGTCTGGTAAACTTAGCTTTGCTCGATCAGCAGGTGTCTGGTGGTCCTTCACAAGGCTAGTGAATGACAACTCAGTTAATGTAGAATGCATGAATCCTGTGCTAACCCACAGAATCCTTTGGTAAACGGCTTTGTGACAGGCCAGAGAACAAGTTTCTTAGCCTACAGTTCAAGGTCTTTTCTGATCACACCTCCTGCCATTTGCTGGGTTCCGGCTGCGTCCACCACCCTTCTGCCCTGGCTTGTCCTAGTCCAGCTTCCGAATGTCCTTCCAGCCCGCCCTCCACCTCTTCTTTCAAGCCCCACTTCTCCAAGAAGTCTTCTTCTCTCAGCCACTCACAGGGATGACCTCGGGGTTTGCTCACCAGCCTTCCTAACCTCTCATGATCCCATGGGCTACACTCGGGCACGCCAATGCACTGAAAAGATCCCTGGGTCCAAGTGGCTCCCGCTTTACTGGACCTCCGTGAAAGCCGGCCTCTCTCTCTCACTGGCCACAGAGGAATATAGGATCCCTCCTCTGCCCTTCTCAAAGGGTCTGTATTATAATCTAAGGTTTGCTGGAGCTTCCTAACAAATTACCACAAATTTGGTGGCTGAAAACTACAGAAATGTATGATCTTACTGGTTTGGAGGCCGCGAGTCTGAAACCCAGGTGTTGGCAGGGCCGCACTCCCTCCGAAGGCTCTTGGGGACAATCCTTCCTTGCCGCTTCCAGCTTCTGGCGGCTCCAGGCATTCCTTGGCTTGTGGCTGCATCCCTCCTCCTTCGCGTGGCCTTCTCTTCTCCCTGTCTGTCTCGCCTCTGTACGTCTCTTAAAAGGACACTTGTCATTGGATTTAGGGCCCACCTGTATAACCCAGGACGATCTAATCTCAAAATCCTTAATTTACTTACTTCTGCAAAGACTCTTTTGTTCCGACTAAGGTCACATCCACAGATTGCTGGAATTAGGGTGTAACTTGTGATTTTGGGGGCCACCATTCTATCCACTACAGGATTGTTGGAATTAACTACAACAATTCATGAAGCGTTGCTTTTGAAAGAAGTAAAATGCATTATAGAGGTAAGAGAGCATCACTCTCTCCACAGTAAAGAAATTGACCGCCCTTTATAGAATACTCGTCCTTACTTTGGAATTATTTCTTTCACTTTGGATTTCTACCTCTGGAATTGCCTTCTCATTCAGAACTTCCAACCACCTTCCGAACAAAGCATTTGAGGTCTCCAGAGTGCAGGTGAATGGCGGCTGCACAGCCTGCACCGCTCCCCACCTGCCAAGCCAGCTGCGACTCCTCCTCCGGCCATAAGCACGGCCTGCACAATCCAGTCTCCAGGCTTTTGCTCAGGCCTTTCCTCCAGCTGGAATGCCTTTCCTTGCTCATCTCTACCTATTTGGTCTGTCCACCCATCAAGGACTCCAGAAATGATCGTCCTCTGTTCTCCTCCTCCCCCGACCTCTGCCTTCCAACTCCACTGTAAGATGTAGTTGCCTGCTTTAAAGTGTCTCATTCCTTTCTCTCTCTGTCACCAACTCCAGCCTAGTAAATTGAGTCTATGTCCACCTTGCTCACCATATACGGAGGTCAATGCGACAGAGATGTCATCTCATCATTCTCCTTTGTCTCCATCCTTGTTTATTTTCCCCTCCTTTGTCATCTCCACTCTCTCTGCCTCTTCCGCTGTCTTTCCCTCCCCTTCCTCCTCCTCCTTCTCACTGCTTTCTTCCTCCTTGACCTGCTCCTTCTTCATAATAAGTACCACTATCCCCCATTAGACACCTTACTTATACTATCTCATTTAACCCCAGCCACAACTTACAACACACGGTGGTGTTATCTCCATTTTACGTGATGCATGAGTCAGTTGAGGTTTGCAGCATTTACAGCCACGTGTCAGGTGATGAGGGCAAAATTCAAATCCTAACTTGTTGGGCGCCAGAGCCTCGCCTCTTCACAAAACAGCCCGGTAGGCTGCCCCCCAGCCCTGATGGAGTGCCTTGCACACAGTGGGCATTATTCAGATGTGTGCTGAATGAATGCACAGATGTTGAATCATCGGGCCATTTAAAATATTTTAAAAGGAGCAGAGGAGGGGAAGAAAATCAGGTCCTTTGAGCTCAGGCTCTTTGCGCCTCCGACAATCGCAGCGGAAGCATCTCAACAGCATGTTCGTTAGCGGTATAGCGGTTAGTCTGGAGGCACACACTTGCTTCTGTGGAAATGAGACCTCATTATCCTTTCTTTTTTATTTCCCATCTGACATTTATGAAAGGTGAATAGATACCTTATCCATCAGCGCAGCCAGCCTCTGCAAGGCTCCCGCCCTGACAAAATTACTTCTAGTGTTTGTTTTCCTGGGAGTCGACACTGTTGGCTTTTTTGGCACGATTTTGTTACAACGTGAAGCTGGGACTGCAGACGGGAGGCAGCGATCTGGCAGCTCCACCAACGCTGCGGAAGGAAAGGGGTTTCTCTCTCGACGATGACCTCTCTGGTCCTGTCCCTGGGGCTGCTTTCCCCCTCTGAGACCCTCGACTGGCCAAGGAGCAGCATGCTTCTGAGAATCCTGGCGATCACCCTCCGTGTGTGCGTCTGACTTTAGGAAGGGGTCAAGTTCAGAGACCTTTGGGGCCCAAACAGGAGGCAGATCAGACCACGCATGACACTCTCCTTCTGCTGCCTGGCTGGACTACACGAGCACTTTCTCAGAGGAGCCTTCAGCTGTTTTCCGGCCCTACATTGGAGCTTCCTTTTTTGTCTGAGCTTCTAGGTAACTCTTCCCAATGAGTGACTTTTCATAGCTAATGATAATGATAAAAACAGCTCACATTTCCTGAGTGTGTATTACATGCCCAGCACTGTTTGGAAGGCCCATGACTTCCCACAGCAATACCACGAAGTGGAAATAAACACAGTAAGGTGAAGCTGCCTCTTGATGTGGCAGTGCTCCGCCATGTGAACACCACTGTCAAAGCCCATCCCACCGCACAATTTACAGGCGTGCAGTTTCCTGCGCATAAATTATACATCGATAATGTCGAATCACTATGTTGTAAAAAAATTGTATCTCAATAAAGTTGATTTTAAAATTATGTCAACACTCACGTAGTGCTTCCTGCGAGGCCAAGCCCAATTCTGAAGGCTCTGTGTGCAGCGCCCCCGAATCCTTACGACATTCCCGTGAGGTCAGTGTGACCATTGTTCCCACGAAGAAATAGAGGCACGGGAGGGCTGAGATGTCGCCCAGAGTCACGTTGCTGTGAAGTGGGACAGCTGGGATTCGAGCTCCGTTAGCCAGACTCCACTGTGCTTATGAGCTTTCTCAGGTCACGAAGGCCTTGGAGAAACTACCGAAAACTGAGGCTCCTAGGAATCCATGTTAAAAATTTTTGTCCTAGATAATATGCTTTAATGAAAGAAGTGACTAGTTGTTTGTCTTGTCTGTCTGTCTGTCTTTGTTGATGTGTCCCCAGTGCCTGATACTTACTGACTCAATAATCCATGTTCCATGAAGCAAATGGCTGCACCTCAGGGGTCAGGGGAGGTGTGATGCGTCAACTTGACTGGGCTAAGGGATGCCCAGAGAGCTGGGAAAACATTATTTCTGGGTGTGTCTGTGGGGCTGTTTCAGAGGCATTTGAATTGGTGAACTCAGTAAAGCAGATGGCCCTCCCCAGTGTGGATGGGCATCCCCCAGTCTGTTGAGGGCCCGAATAGATGGAGGAAGGGTGAATTCACTCCCTGCTTGAGCTGACACATCTGTCTTCTCCTGCCCTCAGACATCCGCGCTCCGGGCTCTCCAGCTTTCCGCCTCAGGCCAGGACTCACACCCTCGGCCCCTGATTCTCAGGCCTTGGCACTTGGACTGAATCACACCAGCAGTGCTCCTGGCTCCGCCACTTGCAGATGGCACATGGTAGAACCTCCCAGCCTCCATAACTGCGTGAGCCAATTCCTATAACAAATCTCCTCTTATATATGTCCATACCGTCACGCATCGCTTAACAATGGAGCTACGTTCTGAGAAATGCGTCTAGTCTGGCTCTTCCCACACTATATTGTGATGTGCGGGTATGTCCGTGCTCATCTATAACCTGTGATTGTCGGGAGAGTGGGTGCCATGCCTTAGTCATCTGAGCAGGCCCTGCCGGTGGCACAGGGCCTGCGGCACAGACGCTGTGACAACTTTGACTTGCTGAGCTAGGCTTTTCCTTCTCAGTAACTGATCCTGTCACCTATCAAAGTGCTTCCACCAGGAACCTGGGAGGCAGCCTTCTAACCGGTCTGGGCCTGTCCTGTCCGCTCTACTCCAGGAGCACTCTCCATCCATGCCCAAGCCACCATCACCTGGCCCTTAGAGGACTTTCTTACCTGGCCTCTGCATCCCGCTTCCCATCAGTTCTCCTTGGAGCATAGCCCAAGGATTGTCTTCATAAGTAAACCCTTTGTGGCAACGTCCTTGCTTCAGCTCTCCCAAAGCCAGGGTCAGGTCTCTAGTTGAAAGCATTCGCAGGAGCTTTTCCTTTCATCATATTTGTAATTAGAGTGACCCACCTTCCCAGTTTGGCAGGACTGAGGATACAGTCGCAGGATGTAGGACTTTATTGCTAAACCTAGGCAAGTCTTGGTCAAACTGAGACAAGTTTGTTGTCCTACATGTAATGTATTGTTCTACTGTTCAATGCCTGCCCACAGGTTAAGCACCATAAGAGCCAGGGTCTGTGTATTTTGTTCACATCTCTATTCCAGAGCCTGGAACAGTACTTGACATGCAGTAGACATTTTGTAAATATTTGTTGGATGAATAGATGAGTGGATCTTAAAGGATCCTTCCAACTCTTGAGTCTGGTATTCAATAAAGGTAAAATCAAAGGAAAGAGTGGTAATGAGAACGATCCTTTCAAATATCCTTGGGGCAGCTGGTGCCTGTGGGAAGGACAGAAGGTAGAACAAAGGGTTGCTTCTAAACAGAATGCCTATACCCAGGCATGAAGGAGATGAGGCAAGAAGCAATGGCCGAAATGCGTAAAGTGAGGCCCACAAGATGCTGTGCACTTTTCATGCATTCATTCCTTAGACTTGCTCTGTCAGGCAGATGTTTTTGCCTCTCTTTTGCAAGTAAGGAAAGTGAGGGATGGTGAGGTTAGGTAACAGGCCCCAGGTCACATGGCTCACTGGAGTTAGAGACGGGGCAGACCCATCTTCAAGCCCGCAAGGGTTAACTGGCTTCTTTGTCCATGTTGAGCTTCTTGTGCTTCTCAGTCTCTGGGTGCTAGTGAGGGACGATGGGGTCACAGGAAAGAAGGGGAATGCCCGGAAAGGAAGAGGGCCCAGAGCTGGAGAAGGAAACAAAGGTCCCCAGAAGTCATCTGAGGCTCTGGAAAGAACAGAGAAATCAGACGAGAAACAGAATCTGAGTATTAGGAAATCAGAGCTAAATGACCATTCTCTAGGATTCAGACTTGGAAATTGTCTTTCTCCATAGGGGAGGGGAATTGAGGTATTGATTGCATTTATTTTCTCATGACACAAAAGGTAAATTAATCCTTTTAGAGCAGAAACCATGTTTTTATTACATTCTGAGTAATTTCCTTTGAAAAAGAAAAACATTTTTAAAGCCACTGGCAGTAAAACTAGATTTCCCTCCCCCACATCTTAGATGAGAATGTGTGTCATTATTCATGCATAATCTGATTCCAAATGATTCCTTGTTTACAGTTTGTTTTTTTGTATTTCCTTATGTAAGCAAGAATTAATACACTCAGACATGAAAGAAATAAGCTAAATTATTTTTAGTGCTTCTCTTTAGGACGTACAATACGTCTTCTTTAACTCTCAATGACATGCAAAACAGTCAGAGAAAAACACAAATAAATACCTGTGGAAACAGAGACAAACATCCCGGGTGGAAGGAGGGGTCTGTGCGTCTGCGTGGCCTGCTCGGCTCTCTTCTCCCTGGAGCCTGCCCGGGACCAGGCGGGTCTGGGACGCCCCCTGGAGCTGGTCTGTCCCTTCGTCGTGCCCATCAGGTGCCAGCTCATCCTGGCACACAGCCTCAGTGAGCCTCCCAGCTGAGCCGAAAGCAAGGGGAACATCCAGATGTTCATGCTTTCTGCGTGCCTGGGGAGGCTGGCTCTTTGTGGGGGAAGCCTGGCTGCCCTCAGCCTTTACCTTTGCAGCCTAGAAAGCTGTCAAAAAACTCTGGTGCCTGCAAAGAATCTGAAGAGTGTCTCTCTGTGTTAATTTGTCAGCTAGTTTATCAGAGAACTTCTCGTGATTTCAAAGCCTATCCACCACTTTTAAAAGCCTCCTTAACACACAGGGTAGCTCAGGGCCAGAATCAGAGTGAGGCAAAGGGCCAAGGGCTTAAATTTAAGGGGGCGCGTCTGCTCAGCTGCTGACCCTGTGCTCATGCGACCTGAGAGTGAGGGTCTCCTCACATTTACTCCCTGGCTCCTCCTCGGCCTTGCGCTCCTTTCAGCTCTGAGATGCCTCTATGTGTGAAGTGACTTGAAATTCATTTTCCTGGGATCTGAGTACCTTACAAGTTGTTAACTTGCCTTTCAGTAGACAACTCTGCATATGTGATATCTGTCTAGAAACATGTTTCTCGTTTTTTAATTCAGGTATCACACATTGCTCTCTTGTAGCTGTCATTAGAAGAAAAACACAGAAGCCTTTTTCCCCCATTTAATGCAGAGATGAAATGGATAGCATATTTTTGATAGAGATTATCACGTGTGGCCATAACAAGGCTGTAAAGTTTGACCTTATGAATCCAGAATACGATGGCCGCTGGGAACTCGGGGCCTCCCGCATCCCTGGGGCTGCCTTCTCAGCCCACCACCCTCCTGCGCTCTCTTTGAAGACATCAACTGCCTTTATTTTCACTCCAACTCAAATAAAGTTTCTTTCTCGTCGTCATCTGTTGGGAGGTCTTAGGCCCAGAGGACAGTGGGACCTTACACAGCTAGATATCATAGGGAAACTGAAACGAGATACGATAGCAACTTATGGAGTCTTTGCCAGGTGCCAGCGCCTGTCCTAGCTATCAGGTAATCCTTACCCCCAGAGCCAGTCTTGGGCCCAGGTGAGAAGCCTTCTGCTCTGGGCCGGGCGGCATGCGTGAGCACGCGTGTGCATGCCCCATGAGCTTGGCTCCGGCCCTTTGCTGGTTGTTCCTCTCCCCATAGTGAGGAGACTCTGGACCAAGGGGTTATGTGCACCTGGAACTCACGTCCCCTCTTCTAGAACACACTTGGGGGTGCCCACAACCTCAGAATTTCCTGCCTCCAGGCTGCACGTGCCTCTTTCCTGGGTCTGTCCTCTCAAAGACAGATGGTGCTGCCAGTGAGTGTCCCCATGTCTGGAGGCGGCTATTAGCTGGGGTGGGAGGGTGCACGGAGCTGGGAGAGGTAGATATCCCCGTGAGGGGACTTCGAGTATGCCTTCTTGAGCCCGCAAACGTCAGCAGTGGGCCCACTGCAGCCCTATACATTTTCTTATGATTATCTCCATTTTATAGGAGAAGAAGCTGAGACCCATAAAAGTCAAGTAACTTCTCCAATCGTATACTGAGTGATGGTGGGGCCCAGATTTTGACTTGGACAGTGTGGCTTCAGGGACCCCCAACTTTATCTGCTGTTCCACGCCATGTCTTGAAGAGCTACGATCTCACTCCTGAATTATCACCACCTGGTAATGCAGTACCACAGCCTGCCAGGGAGACAGTGACCGCTACCCGAGTGGCGGCAGCAGTACCCATTGAGGGCTCCCGGTGACCAGGAGAGATATATGCATGTAAAGAAATTTATTATAAGGTATTGGCTCATAGGTCCCATGATCTGCCACCTGCAAGCTGGAGACCCAGGAAAGCTGGTGTGTAGTTTGAAGGCCTGAGAGTAGGACAGCCTGTGGTGAGACTCCAGTTTGGATCTGAAGGCCTGAGAACCAGGCGTGCCGAAGGCAGGAGAAAATCGATTTCCCAGGTCAAGCAGTCAGGCAGAGCTAATTCAACTTTCTTCTGCCTTTTGGTTCCATTCAAGCCCTCAACAGACAGGATGATGCCCACCCACACTGGGGAGAGCTATCTTCTTTGCTCAGTTCACCAATTCAAATGTTAATCTCTTCTGGAAACACCATGACAGATAGACCCAGAAATAACATTTTACCAGCTATCTGGTCATCCTGTGGCCCAGCCAAGTTGCCACATAGAATTAACCATCACAACCAGTCACAACAACCTTAGTCTTGAAGTAGAGTGCTGGAAGTCTCCTAATGGAGCAACAGCTAATGTACTGTCTTAGTTGCTCTACTGTAGAGCCTGTGGGTCAAGGAAGACTAGTCAGCAGCTGAAAAGATGAGAGGACTTAGTGACTTCACCAAGCGTGGGACCTTTAATCAACAGTAAACACTGTGATGAACTAAGTACGTGTCCTTAGACCTGCACCTGCCACATGTCAAGTGCTCAACAGGCACATGGAGCCGGCAGCTCCCACATTGAACAGTGCGGAACATTTCCGTCACTGCAGAAGCTCCTGTCGGACAGCACTGCCGTGGACAATCTTTGAGTGGCCTTTGTTAATATTACCGATGTTGAAAGGACATGTTGTCAACCTTTTTGCTTTATTTCCAAATGTCAGATAATTTTTCTAACGTACCAAAGTAGGGTAAGGGTCCTGTAGTCAGTATATTTTGGAATCTTTTGATTAAGCAATTAAATTGTGTCCTTGATTTTTAAAGACTTTAATATGCCAGTGTGTATTTTGACTGTCCAAGAGGGAGCTAGAGAAGGTAATGTTTCCCAACTTCTTTGGGCCATATTTGTTTTTTCAGTGTTTCTTAGCTCTGGTGTTCCATCTACGAGTTTAACCAATCAGAACTGCTTCTTTAAAGGATGAACATAAAACCAAACTTGTTGGGGCTCTTGCCCTTGGGAAAGTCAGCTGCTGTGTGAGAAGTTGGGTTACCCTGAGACCTGCAGACTGGAGAGGTCACCTCTGCTGTGAATGAAACCCCAGATGAACTCCTAGCTGTCAGTCACTCTTGCCAAAGCACCAGACATGTGAGGAAGCTGCCTTGGTCCCTCCAGCCCAGCCCAGCCATCCACCGAACACCTCTCTGTGACATCAGTTGATGCCCAGACGAACTGCCCAGCCACACATTGCTCACATTTCTGATTTAAAGAATCCAGGAGATATAATAAAATGATGTTGCTTTAAGCCACTAAGTTTTGGGTAATTTCTGATGCAGCAATAATGACCAGAACAGAATTTCTCCAGCAAGGAATTACCAAGTCAGCCACCTTTTCCTGGCTTAGAGTTTCTTCTCAGTCCTCAAAAAAAAGACGAAATCAAACAAAAAGTGTCAAATATCGTTTGTTATAAAGATGAAGCTGGACTAAGGTGTTAAAGGGACACCAAGCTAGGAAGCTAATCCTAAGTGTATTAGTTATCCACTGCTGCACGACAAATTACCCCAAAACTAATTGGTTTAAAGGAAACAGATATTTATTATCTTACAGTTTCTAGAGCTCAGGAATCTGGGGCAACTTTGCTGGTCCTCCGGCTCAGGGTCTCTTGAAGGCTGCAATCAAGATGCCAGCTGGGGCCGTAGTCATCTCAAGCCTCAGCAGGGGCAGGATCCACTTCCCAGCTCACTCATGTGGCTAATGGGACCTAGCTGTTCTTCCCTAGCTGTTGGTCGGAGGCCCCCGAGGTCCCTACTCCTGTGGACCTCTCTATAGGGCAGCTCACAACATGACAACTGGCTTCAACAGAGCAAGCAAGAGGCCAAGAGAAGGTGAGCAAGACAGATAGCACAGCCTTTAGTAACCTGCCCTCAGAGTGACATGTCGTCATTTCTGCCGTATTCTGTTTGTTAGAAGCAAGTCACTAAGTCCAGCCCACACTTATGAGGAGGGGATTCTACGAGGGCAGGAGGTGGAGATCACTGGGGGCTATCTTAGAAGCTAACCGCCACATTGACCTTCTGAGTAGTTTAGGGGGTCAATAGAGTTCTTGCATTGAGCTACAGGAAGCAGTGACAATGTTGTATTAAAGGATGTGATTCCAAATACAATACAACAAGCCATAATATCTGCCATCCTAACACATTTACATATCTGCCTCCCCAGCCCTGTCCCCATTACCCTTCCAGCTTGTGGATCATTTCTGCCAAGTTCATGTAGCATTATTCTCTAAGGCAATAACGTGTCTAGCTAGACTTTCCACGTGGGAGCTTCTCGTAGCACTGCTTTCTTGGACAATCTCATGTGGTCTCCTTACGGTCTTCCTGTAGATTGCTCGTGTCGATGGACTTGAACAGATCACGGGGACCTACCAACCTGCGCTGCAGTCATTACTGACGTGTCAAAGGAGCCTGCAATTCAACCCATCTAGTCTGAGCAGCTGTCGTGTTGTTCCTCCCAGATCATGGGAAGCAGAGGAGGTGATCCTCCATGCCAGCAGGAGGACAAGACTGAACATGCACACGAGGCGAGCTTCATCTCGCCCCTTATTGGATGAGTTACGGGTATAAGATTCCAAAGCATCTTAGAATATAAGGATAGCTTCTTATATTATAAATTGGAGGTAATAAGATGGAAAATCAGTCATATAGTTAAAAGTAGCCCCTGAAAAATTCCCTTAAATTCCACAGAAAGTACAGAATACACTGCTTTGTGTACAGGCTCTCAAAAAAGCCCAATCCCATTGAGTTTTCCTCGTCCTGCCATGGAAGAGACCATCACTCTTTCAGTTGAACCCCAGGCGAAGTGGTTGGCATGGTTTACCGGCCTTGTTCTACAAAAAAATAAATAAATAAAAAATGTTTATTTAGTTATTTATGCCCAGCGTGTTTTTACTAGAGCTTATATAAATTAAAAGGGTGTATGATGGGTTTGACCATCTATGGTTTTTGGTTTTATCGGTAAGACAGAGACAAAAAAAAGAAAGAGAGCAAACTACACAAAAACTAGTACTGCTCTGGCTCAGGGGTTGGTGAACTTATTCTGTAAAGGCCCAGACAGTAAATAATTTAGTCTTGCAGGCCATATTACCTCTACATCAGTTCTTCAGCACTGCCTTGTATTGTGAAAGCAGACAGTGCCTAAATGCATAGGCACAGTGGTCGCCCAATAAGACCTTATTTACGAAAACAGCGGCCAGCTGGAGCTGGACTACAGGTCATGCTTTGCCAGCCCCTGGTATAG